GGGGGGGGGGGGGGGGGGGGGGGGGAGGGGTGTGGCTACCTACCTAAGCATCATCATCACGGCGAACAATCCACCTCATCTGCCCTTCCCTCCTAGATCCATCCATCCATCCATCCATCATCAAAACTGATGGGGCATCGAGCCCACTGTGCATCGTCATAGTACTAACGACGGTGGTAATATCTTCAATAGCTCACTGCACAACACAACACACATTTGCCACCTTCCTCGCCCCACGCAACCGACCGATGTGTCGTCACTTACGTGATGTCTTTTGGTTGGTTGGTTGTTGGTTTAGCTGCCGTAGTAGGGAGTGTACACGCCGCAGCTCACGCGCATGGCGCCCTCGAGGAAACTGACCGACCCCCACACACAAGACACATGAGCACACCACCAGACAGGCGTGCCACAGTGTGTGCATGGGGGGGTTGACTCACTGGTGGTCAGGCCAGTCGCCGTCGAAGGAGTTGTGGAGGATGGCATCCTTCTGCTTCTGGCTGAGCTCGTTGATGACCCTGGCGGCGTCACCCATCGTCACACCCTTGGCCTGCACCACACACGCAGAGAGAGAGAGAGAGAGAGAGAGGAGCGACCAAGTGTGCGCACAGGGATCGGGCAAACACATCCTTCCCTCCCAGCATCCCTCCAGCCGACCGGATCCGACGCCTTGATGGCCACATCCACCTTATCTGCACATCAATGAATCACAGCAACATGCAACCATCAAACCACCTCATATCCTCCCTGCTGCTCACATTTGCCATATCCGTTGGTGATGATGATGCTCGGGAAGGGGTACATGACCCTGTCAGGGCTGACAAGGTAGCGAGCATCATCCATATCGTGGTAGCGGTCGACGGGATAGAGGTCCTCCAGCACGCCGCAGATCTCCACACCGTCCAGGCCGATGTGCTGCGGCTCGTTGTCACGCTTGGCGCTCTTCAGCTCCCGACGTATCTGCTGTAGGAGACCCTTCTGAGGCAGTGCCCTTGGCCTTGGCCTTGGCTTTGCCCTTCGGGCGAGGCACGGCAGACGAAGACGACGCCATCGGTGGCTCAGGAGGAAGGCTCAACAAATGCGAGAAAGGCCACAAACAAGCTACGATCTGAAGATCCTTTTGACTACAGCTTCCCGAGAGGGGACAGACAACTCTTTTAGCTGGTCGGAGATCTTGGCCAGGTTGTCGGCTCTTTTATGGATAAACTGGCCGCGCCGCTCTTTCTTACCTGCCGCCGTGATGAGCCGTGAGTTCAGGTGTTTGTACAGCCACCAGAGGACCAAGAAACAAAAGGCATGGAAGGACGGCTTCCTGGTGCTCAAGCAGTGCCCGCACCACGTCGAGGCCGTCCTCTATGAAGCGCTGGACAACGGCAGGCGGGGAGCGGAGGTAGAGAAGAGCTCAGACCACAACCTTGAGTCCATCGATGAGTTCGAGTGAGCAAACACAACAGAAATCACCAGAGGAACACACCGACGGCGAGATCTCTCTCCTGTCTGTGTGTGCTGCTGTGTGCTGCTGTGTGCTGCTGTGTGTTGCTGTGTGTTGCTCTGCCCGCTGCAGTGGTGACAATGCTGGCGACATCTTCCCCGTTCACGTCCTCCAGATTGATGCATCAGACGAGATCGGCGGCATCCCCCCGTCGGCCCAGTCTGCTGCACCCTCTGCAGCCTTCGCCCCACCCCGCCCCATCGCACACAAACCCGCTGCCAGGCAGCTAGGCATGCGTGTCCGGCAGGGACTCTCACGGCCCTTCCGCTCGCCCGTACCCGGCCCGCCAGCTGCAGACCCCAAACCGATGCCCATCGTGATTGACGACACACCGCCGCCCGATGCTGATGACGGCGGGTTGGAGGATTGGGAGGGTGTGCATCCGTCCAAGTGGCCGAGTGAGCTGGTGGATGCGGCGATTGAGGACAAAATCAGCTGCTCCATCGAGTACATGCAGGCCATCGAGCGCTGGCGGGAGGAGGTGAAAGCCATCCTGCCCCCCGGTGCGCCGGTGCCGTACCCCAAGGCGCCGCAGCCGCTCGACGACGAGGCCGGCATGATCATGCTCGAGGTCATGGCCGAACTCGCTCAGCTGCCCAAGGAACTCGAGGCACACAAGAAACACCAGCCCACCACCCGCAAGCCGCCACACATGCCGACGGACCCCCTCCCTCCCCGCCCCTTCCAGAAGCAGCAGCGCCGGCTACAGCCACCCTCCGCTTCACGCAGCAATGCACACCCATCGCCCCCGGCCCAGGAGGACCATGGTCACTGCAGCGCGCCAGCAGCAGAGGGTGAGATGCGGGAGTTCGGGTGCCTCTACACGCACCAGAAACACAACAAGGTCAAGAGGCAGAAGCAGGACGGTGTGGTGGTGGTGCGGCAGAAGGGCGAGTACGTGGAGCTGTCGTTGCATGGGCTGGCGGATGACGGCGAGAGCAGGGGTGGGGTGCTGGAGAGGACCACACGACACTCCATCAGATCGATACACGACTTCAAGTGAGATGAAGGATGGTGTCGTACAACACACCGCCCCATATCCATCCACTGATGCGCATTGTCTGTCTGCATTCTGTCATCAGTCCTGAGAACGCCAACGACATCTTCCCCCGCCACTATGTCGAGATCGACAGCGAGAGGAACCCCGCTCCCGCCTCGCCTTCCCATGCCCCACCACCACCACCACCCCCACGCCCTCCCCCTCTCAAGCCCGTACAGCAGCCGCAGCGTCCACCGCCCCCTCGCAAGCCACCCATGCTCACATCACCCAAGGCCAATCACGCGGCGGCCTTCTATGCAGTATCGCCCTCTCGCGACCTCCCGCAGCCAGGCCCTGCTCACAACAGGCCCCGAAAGCCACTGAGCGAGAAGATGCGCCGTGAGCTGAGTGGCGAGGATGGGGGTGGCGGTGAGGAGGATATGCCGGCAGCCAACCGGCGACACAACTCGAGCGGCCGGCGAAGGGGCCTGCTGCATCCCTCTGCATCGGCGTCTCCCGCTTCACCTGCAGATGGTGGTGGTGACGGTCCAGGTGCCGTCGACCAGGACGTCCCGATGGCCGACGCACAGCAGCAATCGCAGCCACAGCCACAGTCACAGAGACCGTTCCCCGCCCCGACCCGACCCTTCCCTGCACGACCAAGATTCTCGCCTCAGCTGTCCATCAATCGGGCGTCCATCGGTCGGGGCCGTGGGCGAGGCAATCTCCACGCCAGTGCCAACATTCGCCCGCCCCCACAGCTCATGTCGCTGATGTCTCAGCCAAGCGGCGCTTCTGGGGGAGGGGCTGCCGGGGGAGGGAGTCTGCCTAGGTTTGTGGCGTTGGATCGTCTGCCGGCCATGGGTGCGTGGAAGGAGGACACCCATGTGTCGGGGGGAGGGATGGTGGGGGTGGCGGTTGACAGCGGTGGCAAGGAGGGGAACATGGCCTTCTTGCCGTGCCGGTTTGCCGTACCGACGCTATCGCAGGAGGTCAGGGAGTGACCACACACACACACAGAAATATGCACAGAGGAGAGGATGCTTGCCTCGTTCGTGTTGTTGTGTGTCTGGTTGGTCTAGGTGTCGCCTCAGGCCCAGCGTGAAGCCTGTCTGCCCGTGCCTGAGCTGTCCTACCACTACCCCACGCGCATGAGCTACGCCCTCCACTACATCAACGCCATCCTCCACCAGATGCACACACAGATGGTCGAAGCAGCCGCACAGCTCTCAGCCACCAAGAGAGGTCCGCCACAGCCACCACGCACATAAGACATCCCTCCCTCCCTCCCTCCCTCTCCGCAGGTGACAACGTCCGCTGCCCCCTCCCGCGTGTCCACGGGCTGACCCTCCGCTACCGCCTCGCCGTCGACAAGGCCAAGCAGAAGAAGGTCAACCAGGATCGCAAGCGCAAGCTCAACAAGCAGAAACAGGAGGAGAGGAAGCGAGCCAAGAAACGCGCAAAGGGCGAGATGGTGGTGGAACACGACAATGACAATGAAGAGGACGGCGACGGCTCAGAGGAGGAGGAGGAGGAAGGCCAAGACGTCACATACAACAAGTACTGACTGCAATGCGAACGAACAGCTCTTCAAACCACTCATGTGTGTCTCTGCACTGCGACTGGGCAGGTGTGAGCTGGATTTCTTGCGTGCGCGTCGTGAGGGCGGTGGTGGCGGCGGCGGTGGCGGCGGTGGCGGTGGTGGTTGGCAGCAGAGGGGCGGTGGGCGCGGCTGGGGAGGCGGCCGGGGGTATAATGGGTACGGCTGGGGCGGAGGCCGCAATGCTCAGATAAACACCAACGAGTGGAAAGGCATCGGCAGGCAGTCAGTCGCACACACCAACACGACACACACACACACACACACACATCAACCAACACCAAAGACTCCTTTTTTGTGTGTTTGTGTGTCCCCAGAGGCGATGTGTTTGCCATCGAGTGCCCCCCGCAGTCGCCCCACCGTCCTCCCATTCTGGTGCGGGCCATTGGTCGTGGTGTGACGCCGAACGGCAGGCTGGAGGTGCAGCCGATCAACCAGGCCAGCGTGGAGGCCATCCAGGCCCTCACGCACAACGACGCAGCGGTCCAGATGGGCGTCGCCACCAGGATCGCTGACTTCCCCACGGAGTTCAAACTGATCCAGGGGCTGCTCAGATTCTATGAGGCATGCAGAGAGAGAGAGAGAGAGAGAGGGAGGGACGGTCTTTGCTCACACATAAGTGGTGTCGTATATGGTGTGTTGTGTTGTGTCAGAACACGCCTCGCTCGGAGGTCGCTCTGTCCGTGTCAGCTGGTGGTGGGAGTGGCAGTGAGAATGGTCATGGCGGTGATGTGCACATGGGAGACGGCAGGTCGTCCAGCAGCGCAAGCAACCATAACAGCAGCAGCAATGGCAGACAGACCAGCAAGAACGGGTAAGCGAATGCTGCACACCTGAGACACAAACAGGGAGCTGTGTGTGTCTGTGTGTGTGTGTGTGTGCAGCAAGCGCAAGATGTTTGAGTCTCGTGGCCTGGGCGTGGGGAACAATTTCGACCCCAACATGACCGCACTGGCCTGTTGCCTGCGGTGAAAGAGGGACACAGAACCACCACCACCACCACCTAAGGGCGTATCCCTCCTCCTCCCCTCCCCGCCCTGTGTATCTTCCTTCAGCATCGCGTCTGCGTCTCCGTCCTCCTCCTCCCCCTGGTGCACTCAACTCGAGCTGGTCAGCCACACAGACAGACAGACAGACAGACGAGCCACACACTTACACACGATCAGACAGAGAGCCTCGCCCACGGCTGTGGTGCGGTGTGTTTGTGTGCACACACACAGGTGAAGGTGACGAGCTACCGAGCGGAGGAGCTGCTTGAAGAGGTCACCTACAACTCACCCACCCTCAACGCCGACCAGCTTGGCGTCATACAGGCCATCGCCGACTGGTTCGCACGCACCCCATCGAGACAGACAAACACCTGAATGCACTCCGATTTCCGCCTTTTGCCGTCCGTCGTCAGGTTTGAGTATGACGACCTCGATCGTGCCAAGATTGCAGCGGCTGCAGCGGACCCCGATGACTTCGACGTAGAGAACGATCTCCATGACAACCCACGATCGTCGTCTGCAGCAGCCGCAGCAGCAGCCGCCGCATCGGCAGCAGCAGCATCGGCAGCATGCAGGAGTGCTGACGAGGCCGGGACCCCCGAGGCGCCCTGCCTGCTGGTCCACGGCGTGTTCGGTAGCGGCAAGTCCACCCTGCTGGCGGCGGCTCTCATGTTCCTCTCCAAGTAACGGAGCCATGGGTGCTGGCATGGATCATGGATGGACGCCTACCTACCTGGGTGTGTGGGTCGGGTCGATCAGGGTGCTGTGTGCCGAGGGGTGCAAGAGCAAGATCCTGCTCGTGTGCAACACCAACGTGGCGGTCGACGGCGTGGTGGAGAAGCTGGCCGCCATCGGCATGCCCCAAGAGCAGCTCATCCGAATCGGTTCACCCAAGGAGATGAAACCCAACGTCCTCAAGTGACCTCAATGCACCAACACAAGACACCAATCCACCCACCACCCACCCATGTGTGTGTGTGTGTGTGTGTGGATCAGGTATGCGGCGAGTGCGGTTACGGACAGGAAGAGGGGTCTGCAGGAGTTCACCGAGGCCCTCAACCTCAGGCTGGGCACTGGCAGCAGCAGCAGCAGCAGCAGCAATCGGGCCCGCCAGCAGCAGCAGGGGCAGCAGGGTGGGGGGGACCTTGACGCGTTGCTGCGTCAGGAGCTGCTGCAGCTCAAGACACTCGTCGACCAGGGCAAATACCCACCCCAACTCAAGGTGGTTTTACGGAGAGGAAGGGGCGGGATTGGGCATCCATGTGTCCGTCTGTGTGTGTGCAGGACTGGAAGGGCCGTGTTCGTATCATCGCCACCACATGCGCCACAGCCATGCAAAGCGAAGCGCTCGGCGGGTCGGCATCCACACACACACATCCACACACACACACACACACACAGAGACACATCAATCCATCCAGGTCTGCCCGAACAGGCTGGAGGGCAGCTGTCCGTTTGTGTTCATCGACGAGGCGTCTCAGCTGATCGAGCCGCAGTCGGTCGCCGTCCTCGTGCGCTTCCGGGCTCTGCGGTGGATGGCCATCGGAGACCCAAACCAACTACCTCCCATCACTAAGGTCACCCACCCACCCCCACATCTCCGTGTGTGTCCATCCATATGTCACTCACTAATGCAGGGCAACAGCAATCTCTGCATGTCTCTGTTCGACCGTCTTTGGATGGAAGACCCAGAGGACGGTGCCCCCCTGCCGTCGGCACACATGGCCCCTCCCCCTCCCATCGCCCCCCTCCCCATGCGCACGCAGTACCGCTGCCACCCCCACCTGTCGTGTCTCTGCCGCGAGCTCTTCTACGGCGAGGGCGAGCTGTGGGACGGCGTCACTGAGAGCGACCGTGCCCCCATCATCGACAACTGGGCGCCGCTCAGCGCTGTCGTCCTGCAGGCCAACCACCCACAGAACAAGTGCGCATGCAAGCAGCCAGAGACACAACAAGAATGCATTCGCGAAGGTGGGTAAAAAACGTGTGTGTGTGGTGTGTGGGGTCATTGGCACAGGGAGGTTAGGAACGGTGTGTCTTATCGCAACGAGTACGAGGCGCAGGCCATCTGCAACATGATCGAGGATGCACTGCAGTCGCTCCAGAGAGAGAACCGGCCAGAGGGGGCGTCCATCGGAGTCATATCGCTGTACAGAAGTAAGCCGCCGGCGGCCTGCAGACACATCTCGGGCTGTGTGTGTGCGCATATGCATATGGTGTGTGGTGTGTGGGCGCAGAGCAAGCCTTTGAGATCGACCAGAGGGTCAAGGCGCGATTCCAAGGCAGAGCTCACATCCAGGTTTGATCCATTCACGAGAGCACAGAAGAGACACCACAACAATGCCCCATTCGCTGTGCATGTGTGTCGTCCCTCAGGTCTCGACGGTCGACGCATTCCAGGGCGCCGAGAAGGACATCATTTTCCTATCCACCGTCCGCAGAGAATTCCCATCATCCACTTCACACACACGAAACAACAACACCACCACCAGCCCGACTGCTGCCAGTGCCAATCCCGCCGCATCTCAGCCGCCCAAGCGCAAGAGCATCGGCGGCGGGGGCCTCTTCGCCCGGTCGGGGGGCCGCAACAGCGGCGGCAAGTCGTCGAGCGAGGACTTCTGTGAGGACCCCCGCCGCACCAATGTGGCCCTCAGCCGTGCCAGGCGCCACTTGGTGGTGGTGGGCAGTGACCGGTTCTTCAATGGCAATGACATGTGGCTGCACATACTGCACCACCCGCACACGGCGATTGTGCATTGGCAGTGAGAGGCGGCAGACAGGCAGACAGACAGACAGACAGATGGGTGGACAGATGGACGGACAGGTGGATGGCTGAATTGCATGTGAAGTCACAGTCAGTGACGGTTTGACATGTTTGTCTTTCATGTCCATCATATCACATGACGATGAGACTGTCTGTCATGGCTACCACAAAACAAAGACGTGAGTGACACCAGACCAGACAGACCCTCGAACACATACAGTCCTCACGCAGGCACTGCAGAAGCATGAACCCGTTGAACCCATTGGCCACTTCCTGACTGCTGACTTACGCGACGTGTTTGGCCACATCGATCAGTCCCCTTCACTGCATGGACTGACTCTCTCACGCACCGTACAGTCAAGTCCAAACACGACAAGGCACTCGACCGACTTATCCATCTAGCTATCGCCCCACCCACCTCACCCACCCCCCACCCCCCACTTCTGCGTGTCTCCTGTTGCCTACGGTGCTGCTTTGGGCTTGGCCTTGGCCTTGGCCTTTGCTTTCGGGGCGACTGCATTCGTGCTTTTCCGGCAGATCCTAAACGACAGCTGCTCATACCTCAAATGATCGAAGAGCCGCTCCTTGTCGTTGCGCCCGAGACAGGTTGCAGTCAGCTTCGCTGTCCGGGGGAAACGAAGGGATCCCTCCTTTTGCGGTCTGGGGGCCTCAGTGGTGTACAGGACAGTTGTCCAGAAGGTTGGCTGGCGTGTCATGTGGACGCGGGCAGCAAAGCTGTCGTTCGGGCCCTCTCCGCACAGGTAGATGGAGCCACTCCGCCGGCGATGGTCGTCGATGCTCACCATTCTGGTCTGGCGACCCCAGGGAATGGCCGCCTGCAGCAATAAGTTAGTTGATTGACAGTAGGTAAGCGTAGACGTCTGTAGTCCCTACTTGTGTCAGCAGTCTGTTAGCCAGGGCAGCTCGTGAGCTGTCCCCGGTGAGGTCCGTGCGATGACACATCAGCTGCTCCTCACACGGAAAACTAGGCGAAGAAACGAGGCGGCGCATACACACAGCAGACAGGTTATGTGTCGTCTGCTTGTGTGCGAGTGGCATGGCTGGCGTCGCCTGCCTCACCGCAAGATGGCCAGCTGTCGGAAACTCGCATAATCCACCTCATTGTTGACTAAGGAACCCACACAAGCCATGCTCCACACATTAGCATCGCCTTGTCGTGCCACTGTGCTGGTGTTTTTTCGCCCACCTCTGACGATGGGGTCCGTCGGGTCGAACGAAGTGGCGAACTCATGGTCGGCGGGGAGGGTCTCCTGAGTGTAGACGGTCACCACCGTCTCACCCAGCTGCTCGATGCCGTCGATCTGTCTCAGGGCCACCACCCCATCTTGCCCCATCAGGTGGCCGAAGAGGCTGTACTGCTTGAGGCTGTCCGCCCGGCCGTCGAACACCGCTTTGGACCCCACACGCCGCACGTCCGCCGGCCTCACACTGATGGGCAGCGACTGGACCAGCCGTCCGTGTCGGGCGATGCGCAGAGGGCCCATCCACAGACCCCACTGGCCGCCCTCGTCCAGCACGTACAGCAGCTGCATCAGATACGCCACACGCGGCATGTCCTCGCCATCCCCCGGCTGGTAGTTGGCGTCGAATGTCAGCAAGCCCCCTATCTGCTTGTCGGCGATGCAGCGGTTGATGCGGTGGATGAAGTAGACGTCGCCGGGCTGATGTCTCCCCGCGGGACAGGTGCGCCGGAGGGCATACAGGTCCGCTGGAGAGAGGAAGTCCGCCAAAACAATGCCCGCTTCACCAAGCACGTCGGGGAAGCGGCTTTGCGTGTGGGAGGCGGCCGAGGAGGCCGCCGACGCGTTCGCGGCTGTGCGGGCACGCTTCGTCATCGTGGACTGATCGTCTTTCGTCCTGGAACACGTCTTGCCAAGGACGAAGAGGCCGCCCTGCCTTGGCGTGGCGTGGTGAATCAAAAAGTGGACATGGGGCTCGGCTTTCGAATGGCGGCTCAACGGCCGAACGGCACGGTGTGGGGGCGCGAGGTGGGGGTTGCTTGGCGTCTCTCTGGGGGAGACGCCGCATTTCAGGCATGCATGGGGGCCGTACCCTCCCCCGGCCCCCAATGGGGGACCGGGGGGTCTCGAACCCGGAATGGGGGGAGCCCCCCCGAGGGGGGTCG